TTTTCTCGCCGCCCGCCACACCCACCGGCCCCCGCCGCCGTTTTCTGCGCATTCTGCCATGCAAACTAGGCGGGGGCAGTGCGGCCCGGCGACACAGGACCCCTTTTGTTTTGCTCACTCTTTTTGTCCCACCCTCTGTCGCCTCTCGACAATTAGCTCACATAGCGCACCGAGCGTTTGCCTCTCTCTAGGCTCATCTCCTATGTACTTCAGTGATTCACCCGCGCTGCAATTAGACACACACTCGCATATAAAATCTCTCACACTTGACATAAGAATTTTTAACGCTTTTTTTTCTGAACATATTTACAGTTTCTCTAAAAAACTAAGGTTTCCCTTCCATTTTTATTTTATTATTTTTTTTTTTTATATAATTTTAAATAAAAAATAAATTTATTTCCATTTCTGGCCGCTGCTTCTTAGTTTTCTAGTTATGAATTGAGAATTAATTTATTAATTTTACTCATAAGACAAAAAAATTTGTACATTTATTTATGCACAATCTACTCGTTTATATCATGATATAATAATTTATGAAATTAGCAGACTGAATAAAAGTAAAAATAAATTGCGCACGTAGAGTTTAGTGAGCGGAACTCGGCGCGGGGCAACAATGTCTGTCTGCTCGGGAGAGTAGCAACAATTTAATGCTCGATTAAAATTAAAAGGGGTGCGCAATTAGCTCGGCGGCTTTATTTCCGCAGCTCCCCTGAGGAGAGAAACCGAGAGAGCAGAGACCTTAAATTTTTATTGCTCTGTGTGCGACAGACACACTTTTTAATGGCAACACAATAATAATAATGGTTGTAATGATAATAACGTGCACTTGCAGAAAGAAGAAGGCGGAGGAGGGAATAATAAAAAAAGCAACACACATACATAGAGTCCCGGCCGAGTCTATTTGCTCTCTCGTCCTTTTCTTTCTCCGCTACTTTTTCGCGAGAGAGAGCAGCGAGACGGCAACGTTATTTGCATACTTAATGCCGCCGGTGCGCGCTGCTCTCCGAGTGAGCACACAAACTGTTGCTATTGCCTTTGTCAATGTGAATTACGACTGCCACCTTGTATCATAATAAATATTAGGTACAGTGCCTGCCTATGTATGCACCTTTTACTCGCCGTCCAGATAATTTAAAGCGGCCTTCGCTGCTCTATCTCTCTCAAATTGATAATAATTTATTATTACAACTTTGTAATTAGTCGTCGGCGAGCCAACTTCACCGCTGTTGGAGCAATTGTCTAATAGCTTCCACAAGACGTGCAAACTCCGCTACTCTATATATGCAGACGCGTTAAATTATACGGCTTTAGCACTTGCATTGCTTAATCGTTCGCAGTCCGAATCTGCATTCCATATTTATGCTAATCCAGTTTTACTGTCGAGAAGAAGAAGAAGATTGTTCCATGCAAAATTATGCATTCGGTCATTTTAGTTTAATGTTTCTTACTGCGCAAATTCGCTGAAGGCCTGTAGCATCAGAGATAATTAATTTTAATATGAGAATGATATAATAATTAGTTAACCAGTTTATCCATTTGACTTCAAATGAAATGCAAATATAATTTAATTTATAGTACACGCAACCTTTACAAAAGTTGTTCTTCTTTGGTTTATGACTTTTTTCATCATTAAAATAAAATTGGAAAATAGAGAGAATTTAAATGGGAAAATAAGATTACAAATTTCATTCAAAGATCCTTTCCCTTCAACATTTATAAAAAATTCAGTGGTTTTGAAATTTTAATTCAAATAAGAATTTAATTCTCTTCAACAAAAAGCTTTCATCTCTAGGCTTTTGCAAATAACACTACAGCAAAAACTCCTTTAACTTACAAACTAATTAAGTTAAAACACAGCAGTGAACCCGACTTGAACAAAAAGCAGCAGCAAATTCAGACACAAAACAAACTCAACACCTTTGCCGGCGTCGAATTTACGCAAATTATCTTTGCGCACATCTCTTTGTTAGTTGCAAACGAAATATTGCTGCTTTGTCTGGCAGCTGGGAAATTGTGCATCGCAAATTTTAATCAGCAGCGAGGCAATTTCCTTGTTCGGCGTGTGTGTCGCGCAGGTTGCATACACACGCCGAGTTGTGTTTAGAGCCCTCTTAGCACTAAATATAATGGGGCGCATTGAGGAAGATGATCCGACGGTGTAGCGTGATCACAAAGCGGCGCACTTGGTGCTGCAACGCAAAGTCTAATATTGCAAGTAGTGCAACTACACCACGGCGATGATGATGATGATTATTTTGTCCGGAGACCGCCCTGTGGGGAATTCTCGCTTGGGCATCACGCGAGTTGTTGCCATCCACCCTGCGCTCCGCTGGTCGGCGACAAAATAAACCCGACGGTCTTTTTTTTCTCCAATTCATTATGCAAAGTTTTAGAGTTCGGGGAGTTGGAAGCCCATTGTTTTCGACCTCTCCGTGGAGGATTCTCGTTTTTTTTTACAACGGCAGTTTCGCCAAGTGAAATTAGAAACTGCATGGAAAATATGGTGTAAAAAATGTAAAGAGTTGCAGCAGACACACGCGAAGGGATAATTGAAAAAGTCGTCGCCACTTTTTACTTTGTTAACAGCCACTTACTTTAGTACTGTCGCTCTGCAGCCGATGCAACTTTTCCTACTGGCCAAAGAGAAATTGTATCATTTTCATTAGTGAACTTTCCGCAACGCACGTGATGGTGGTACAAGTTTTATTCTATAGTAAAAAAAATTTGTACAAAAATACAAGTTTCGTTGCTGTACTGAAGCTATAAAAAAGGCAAGTGTTTCAAAACATTAATTAATAGTTTTTTTCTATTTGTAGACCAAAAAGGTAATAAATACAATTCTCAAAATAATTTTTAATTTGCACACTGTAAGAGAGTTCATATGACTTTGGTATTTTCTTCTGAAATTCTTAGATACTATAGTTTTTGCAATGCTAAACGACAGTTGAAATAATTAGATTTTGCATAATTCTTCTGATTCTTCATCTTGGTATAAATTAATAACATGTAATGGAATATTATTAAATTATATTATTATTTATTATCGCACAATTTTAAGTTTTAAGTCGTCACATTAAGAACAACAATATTTTTTTCAATTTATCAAAATTACTTTAGTATAATTGTGAATCATCATGAATAGATTTATAATAATAGGGAGAGAAGTGATAAAATTATTTTGCATAGTATGAGTATCGGATTGAATTTTTAGAAACTCTGGGGATTTATAAAATTATTTCAATTGACGCCTGCTGGCTAAACTTTTAACGAAACTCTTACTCTCAAGGTCATAAAAAAGCCAATTACTTTTGTTTACTCAGTAATGTACGTAATAGCTCTGTAACTAAAACTCACCGCCGCCAAATAATCACGACACACTTATTTATTTCTTCCGACTCTTGTGAGTATGGCGCACCAATTTTCCACGGAGGACTCTGCGATGCGTGCGTGGCCCGCGGCTTCCCAGAACGCAATGATTTTGAGCTGACGCCACGAGTGCAATTAGCAAATTGCATTGTTGTTTCTATAGAAGCAATCCAAATTATTATATCACATTTTTCTCGCAAACAGAAACTGCTCCCAACGAGCAGAAGTCTCATAAAAACACAAAACGCCCACTATTATTTATAAAGCTATATTCAACTCGATCCTTTCCTTAAGGGCCAGCTGGAAGCTCAATTTTAGCTTTTCTGGACGGACAAATGAGTTCATTAAATTCGGTGTCCGTTGACACTAGCGCGAGAGGTTTTTGAACTAGGAAAAACGGTCATGACGCTGGTTGCTATGTTTAATGTTTAACGGCGCCCTCCGGTTCACTAGAGTTTTTGCGTCGGGAATTCGTACGTAATTTAAAACACAGTCGTTCGCTTTTGCATATACTGTGTTTGTTATTATTGACTCTCGCGTTTGAATGTGTAATTTGTTATATACTTTTGATAGCAAAAACACGAACAGTAGCAAAAGGCAGCCAGACAGACACAATATCAGCCTGTGAATTTAAATTTCAAAAAGAGGTGCAAAGTTCTCTCATTATAAACGTTGGTGTTGCGAAAAGTTCAACATTGTGAAAATATGATTCATTTATTATATAGGAAGGTATCGATGTATTTGCGAAAATTTGACTCTATTATTACTGCGTGTTGCTATATCAAAGAGAAATACTGAGCGAAACCTTTTGCTGAGTTATAGAACTTGTTATAATATCCTTTCTAAAAAAATTCAATTTAATATGAAACTAAGCCTGAATAAATTTTGAGAAATTCCCACATAATTCCAGCAATATATATTACCAGCTAGGACAGCTTAGCATCGGTGTTGACTAGTGACATTAATTTTGGGCACCTTTTACAATTAATTAGAATTCTCTCTTCCTCTTATTTCCTTTCTCCAAACAAGTAATAAATTTTACTCCGAATGTTTGATGCCGATCCTTTTTCTCTCTAAAAGAGCATTTTTGTGATCGTCGCCACTCAATTTACTCTCGGAAACCATCAATCACGCAGCAAGAAAGAAGAAGAAAGCGCAGTGCGTTGGCTTTTCGTCATACGTGGGCTGACCGCACCATTTCATAAATGACGAGCTCAACATTTATTTACATCCTTTTAATTCCCCCTTACTATAAGAATCGTATCTCAAGCGTACTGTCGGGAAAAGTCATCATATTATTTATCTATTGTTGGAAATTTTTACTAAAATGTTCTCATGAAGCCAATTATTTTTTTATTCTTAAAGTAGAAATTGCTATTTTGAAAATCGCCCAAAATCAATGTTTTACCAAGTTTTATAATCGCGTAAACGAAATATTTCCTTAACAAAAATGTATATTTCCAAACTTTTTACTTATAAAAACTGCTTTATCAAAACAATTTATCCCAAAAATCATTTCCATTTACTTTGCTTTTTCCGCATGGAATCATATATTCAATCATCTCTCTTTCGCAAAAAAAAAAATCAGATTTTCTCGTCGCACTAAAAAAATTAATTTTTATTCTGCTTTTCAGCCCGAGTGTTTCGCTTTAGATGGAGAAGAGAGAGAGACGCGCCCATGAGAATTTCAGAGGGTCCTTGCTCCTTCCATCTGCTGGCTCGAGTAGCGGAGGGGCGGCCGCCGAGAATGCGCGTGAAATTTGCACGCAGGACCTACACCAACAACGGCGCGCGGCAGCGCTATGAATGGGCTTAAAGGTGACCTTTTACAGACACAATATAATACGCGCAAGGACCAGCGCCTCCCGCCACAGTTGTTTTGCTAAACATCAAAAACGTAGCTAGGCGCCATCACACCTTTTGGCATAACGCCATTGCAATCACCATTGGCAGCGTTTGGAGGTTTTTATATTTTAAATTTTTAGTAAAATTTTTTTAAACTAAAATAAATAAATATTCTTTCAAAACATATCAATTTTTAATATTAATAATTTAAAATAACTTTTAAATTGGCCATTTACTTATACTCAACTTTTATGGAAAACAATTTTCGATGAATTTTAATCTTGCAAGTTAAGAAACAGCTTAATCAAAAGATTTTACCTTGTATATTTTTTTATTCTTCATCAATTTATACATTAAATTACTGTTTAGTAAATTAAATTATTTACGTATGCGTATGGAGTATGCTCTATCACCCTTATAAATTAGATTAAACTTTAATTTGAGTCAATACCAAACACTAATACTATTTGAAGTGGTTTCTTACTACTGTATTTATAAAATTTTCAGAGTTAAAAATGTCTTCATCCAATCAAAATTACATACACATGTCATTGCACAACGTGAGCTACAATTCAAATTAATGTAAACACTTAATTGTCCAGAAGAATGGAATGGAACAAATATGTTAACTTCAAGTAAATTTTATAATAGAATCTTCAATTATATTTTGTTGCTCATAGAATATCAAAATTTTTAATGTTAATCAGGTTAATGCAAATAAAAAAGTGGCATTTTAGTTTTTTTTTTCGATATTCTTAGAAACAGAGAGTCAAAAGGATGAAAATAATTCAGATCCTGAAAACAAAAATAATAAATAAAATTCTGACTCAAATACTTTTAAATATTAAAAAAAAAAAATCTCATGTGGGTCCTTTTAATTAAAGATTTTTTTTTTAAAATCTTCTACATAATTTTGTTATCAAGTGAAATAGATAGGAATTCGCTGTTTTAATTATATATTTTTTTTAATTTTCATTTGCTCCAATTGATTGATTCTGCCTCGTCAGAAGCTGGGTGTGGTTTTTCTTTCGCTGCTCTCTTTTCGCGACGAGAAAATTATAAATCAGAGAGCAAAACTCACTCAGTGCTCGCGATTGATATTTACAAAAAAAAAATATTATATAAACCGATAAGGTCGGCATGCCGAGAGCGAGCGAGCGAGCGCGACACTGCAGGAATGGAAATGCACGTAAACGCTGGCAGGCAGGTGAAGTGGCGCGGCAGCAATCATTAAATTTCATCTTTTTATGGTGCCTGCCGGTTGACAGGTACTTTGTTACAATGTCATTCGAAAGCAATCTGGAAATATTTCTCGACACCAACGCAAATCCGTCTTTTTTCACGTGCACGCTGCAAACGACAGCTCTGGGGTGTGTGTGACTTCGTATAAGGTTTCTCGTCAGACACTCTCGTTAAAAATTACATATTTTTTTATTTTCGTCCAACTCGCCGCTTTTTATGGCTTTTAATGATGCTCTCCGTGAAAAATGAACCTTATTGTTTTTCGTCGTGTTTATGTTTCGAATATTGTTATTTTTTTATAATATCCACGCACTGCGCGCGTCTCATCATGTCGCTGTGCTGATGAATCAGTTTACTCTGTGTGCAACCCGAGTGCAGAGTGTGATGGTTTTTTTACACGTCCGTTTATAACTACGGCCCACGAGTTCAACCACCTTCGGCTCTGCTGGTCATTGCATTTGACATTAGTTTATGAGAATGGAGATCAAAAATTTTATAAAGGAACAAATTTTATAATATATCCAATGAAAAATACCTAAATCTATAAATTTCGTCAAAAAATTCACCACTTTTATCCGAACCTAGTCCGTTCAAACAACATTATTTAGCTCACTACGTCTCATTTCAACAGTATTAACTGATTTTACGCTATAAAATGTTCCAGGAACAAATCTGACAGCTATATTTGTTTTGCACGCTGCACTTTTATACGCATATTTTCCCAAATGATAAGAACCAGATGAAGCTGGTCTTCCATCGGGCTTTACCTTATACTACGCAGTACTATAATTTTTCCGGCATTGTATACTACTCGGCCATTAGTCAGCACGCGAAATAATTCAGCACCACTTGAATGAGAGCCGCGTGGAGACGCGATAACAATTTGTGTGTTGTTTTTGTTTGCCGCGCTTTGGTACAATGACGTCGGGTGAGGAAATTAAAATATGGGTTATACTCTATACGTGCGGGGAGGCGGGTTATCATCGCCGGAGCAGCGACAACACGCGCGCAGTTTCGCTATTTACTTACCTACGTCAATTATGCGCTGATAAAAATCGATGGCTCTCGGGATAAACAAATCCACGCCCGCCGTTCCACAAAGACAAATAACAATGCGCACGAAAAAATAACGACTCGCTTTGTTTCTGATTGCGTTGTCGCATAAAAAAAGTTGATGAGCTAATTAAGGACTTGTTATTATATACCGCAGAAAAAATGTTTATAACGCCAAATGTATACATTCAAAGTCAAACAAATCTCTTCAAAAATTATCTTGATTTTTTCAAATTCAATTTAAACATGATTCCAAGTTGCCAGCGGTAAAATTGTATTTTTTTAATAATTCTTTCTATATAGCAAAATTCAATGCCTTGAACTGCTTACAATGTTGTACGTGTATATAAATTCACTGATTTGAATATGTCTATCCGAAATTATGTGGAATGTTTTGCCGCAAAATCTAAAGCGCATAGCCTTGATATTATACATATAAAAAATTTAGAAATTTGTAGAGATATCAGTTTTAATTGTTTGTTTAAGAATAGCTATATTGAGCTATATTTTACTACTTTTTGATTAATTGGAAGTTTTTGAAAAAGTTATTTAAATTACAGTTAACATTTAAAAAAGTAAAATAGATCATTTCAATTTTTAATTTTTTATTGCTTTTTTAATTTTGTTAAGTTGTAATTTCTTCCTCATAAAGCCTCCAGAATGCAGTAAAAGGATAACGTGCGGCCCATATATTTTCTTTTCATGAACTTTTTCCTAGAAAACTACTCAAAAAGCTTTAATCGACAGCTTTGCAATTTTTCCACTTTAGAATTTCTAGGTCAAAACATTGTATGTTATGGTTTCCTTGTGGAAATAAAAATTTCCACCTTGCGTTTCCTTGCATCAACTAACACTTGGAAAATATTTATTTTCTTGGAATTAAATTAATATAAGTAGAGAAATTAATTCAAATTTGAAAGGCAACCAGGAAACTTGTTAATTTAAAGCCTTTTTGGTGTTTATTTAATAAATTGTGCATTTAATATTTATGTCAATCATCGAAAATATCAAAATCCATTGCTTTCAGTTTGTAATAAAATAGCCTGTTTTTTTTAATAGCTAGATTTAATAAAAATTCACAACAACAATAGTTGCCATCACCAAAAAGATGTTTTATTAAATGATAAAATATTGTGTTACTAGTTGAGGGGAAATGTTTTCTTTGTATCATTAATACAAAGGTAAATATATAATAAGGATTCTTCTTTTATTAAAGAATTTCTCGCTAACTTATAAAAAGAGGGGAAAACACGACTTCTCCTTGCGCGTGCGAAACTCTCTTTCAAATAAAGAGTGCAAAGAAACCCTACGCTAGAAAATTGCAATTAGTCCCTCGTTTCGCGCCGACGAGTGCAAGCAGCAATTAAAAAAAGGAAAAATCTCGACTTTTGCACAGCAGAAAACTTCAAAAAGGTGCGCGAGATGTGGAACAGCTCCAGACGGCAAAAACAAAAAACGGCACAATAATAAAGGCAAGTTGAAGAGCCAAGCACGAAATAAACTCGCGGGTAATGCGCGTGGTACATAGTTTTACATACATAGGTGCCGCGAGTTTATTTGCACAGATACACACACAAGGCTGGGTGCATTTTATTGTGCTGGTTGTTGTTATAACAAGACGCGGCGCGATGATGATGTTGATGATAAAAGAGGATGGCACATGTAATGCTATTTTAATCACGTGATAAAAAGTAACAAGCTGCCGCGTGATTATAATGATGAAAAGTTTTTAATGAAACCACAGCTGCTGCCACGTCTCTGTTGGAAAGCAAAAACTTGGAACTGCGTTTTAATTGGCTAATAATTTAAATGTACGCCGAGAGCTGTTACGTCAACTTGACTTTCTTTCATAAAAATCGGTGCATTTTGCACAGGGGTCAATTTTTTAAAGTAATATTTACGTCGCATTTAACAAACAATTAGATTAGAAACAATGAAGATAGAATAATGATATGTATAACATTTCAATTATCAGGATTTAAGACCAATTTTGAGGATTTTCTGATTTTTTTTTTCAAAATCGTAATTATTTCCTATTTCAATTTTATTACCACTACGTAACATTAATTTTCTAGCAGTTTAGCAAAAGTTGAACTAGCTCTGTAAATCTTTTTTATCAATTCATTTATTTTCTTGCAACAAGTTTCCTAATTATAATAAATGTTAAAAAATAAAACTGAGAATTTAACCTTGTTTTTCTCCATTTTCAGGATTTTCAGGTTGGTTAAAAATTTCAATTCATAATCTAAAAAACCAAATCAAAAAGACTGAAACTCACCACAACCCATTTTTAAGTTAAAAAATTTAATATCAAAAGATTTAATCTTCAAAACAAAACTGTTCTGCAAAAGAAATTTCTTTGCTTTTATCTAATAAATATCTGGAATGGTCATTTAATTGGTTTCGAGAAAACGTCTCAATTATTTTGAGCTTGCAGTGTTTCTTCTTCTTATGTTTCACGTAATGACGTGCAGCGCATATACAAAAGTGCTGAGCGCATCAACAGCCCATTTCGAAAAACGTTATAATACACATTAAAGCCAAGTGCCCACACCTCTTTTTCTGTTTCTCTCATCCCGCGATAATGCCTGCCATTATTCAGTCCGTCAGTCCATTTGTCTCAAATTGACATGCAAGAGCAACGCCACTAATTATTTTCTCAGAACGCGCCGAGTGCAGTGATGTCACCCGCGAAATGCACAACAGATCACACGCGAATCGGACACAGACTGTTTTAATTGGAGCAATCTGCATTTGCTAAATATCAAATATTTTACATTGACAAAAAAAAACTAATGCTGACGAATTTAAAAAAAGTGTGCATATACAATTTTTTCTATGAAAGACCTAACAATTAAGACATAGGTCATTGTAAATTAAAATGTTCTAATTTAATTTTTTTAACGGTTTTAATTTATAATGTAAAATTGTAATGCTGTGTGATTAGTGTGCACATATTATGATGGAGTTATAATTTCATTAA